CCCCAAAACCCCAAAACCCCAAAACCCCGTCACACCAAAATTAAGGGGAATATTTGATTGATTAATTGACTTTAATTAGACTGCTTAGATTGAAAAATATTTTATATAATATTTTTGGGGTTTATGATATAAGGATATCCTTAATACAGCTAACAATAATAACAATATATTTCAAATTAGCAATAGCAATACTTTACATCTCAGATATAATAATAGCAATAATAATACTAAGTCCCAAGCTATTCTTAATATGGATATGCAATAGATCCTAACGCAACTATGGTATAGTATCAACAGCAGTATTATAATGGAGGTGATATGTTCTATCCTTAAGCTTAGTTAACTTAAGATATATAAATGCAGTCTTAACCTTATACTCAATAATAGCTATCAAATTAGTAGTATCAATATTACTAGCAGCAGTAGTAACAACTTTATTAGGGATCAATGATGCCGAATAATCTAGATACCAGCCAATATATGCAAATGTTTCTAAATTAATAATAACATTAGCAAAATTCAGTCTTTACCTAAAGCACTCTACCTTAATCAACTATATAGCAACCATAGGCAACTTAAGTGTCATAATAGTAGCCTTACATTCAAATAGTAAATTAGACTATTAATTAGACCATTCCAAATATCAACATTAGCCCTATCATTACTAATTTAGATATTGCAGTAGATCAACAACCTTCTTAAGTATGGGTTCCTTAGAAGAAGCCCCTAAGTTTGTAAGAATAAAAGAGATAGGAGAGAATCAAATAGATCCAAAAATATATAGAAGAAAAAAATGAGAAGAACTTTATATCAAAAGCTGATAAGATGTTTTAAAAACTTAGCAAAATTGCAATTAAGACCAAAGATTCATTAAGAGGAGTAGGATCATTAGAATTAAATTTCATTCATGATTTAGAGCAGTAGAAATAAAGAATCAGACATTCTAATAAGCTAGGTTAGGACATTGAAAAAATAACTAATACAATTGAATTAAATAAATACAGATTTTCACTACGAATGAGTATGAATGATCTAATATGTGAAAAAAGACCAAGTATACAGAAAAATGGTAAGATGTCCAAGTATTCTTAATTGACTTATAAATTAAACTTGATAAGTCCGTTCAAACCAAAGAAAGACAGGAAAAAGAAACCCTTATTCTATGTAAGTGATCATTGCTATTTGAGGCTGACTTCAAACCTGATAAATCAATATGCATACTGTGGAGATAATTTTGAGTAAAATATTTTTGTTCTTGATGGCATAAGACTTAAAATAATCTCTAAAGATAATCTATTATTTAAATTCAATAAGAACTATAGCAAAATTTACAATGAAAAAGATGAACTTAATTTTGATATAGATATGGACTAAGACTTAGAAATAGCACTTTAAGAAAATGAAATTGCTTTTTAGAATTAAAAATCAAATGATTTAAATGCCAATGAACATATAAATGCTATTCCTAATGTGATTCCTTCAGTCAAAGACCTCTAAGAGTTATAGGAACTTTCATCTTACAGGAATTAGCATCAATAAATGAAACCTATATCACAAGTGCTTTAATATAGACTATAAAAAGACTTGCAACCGTCTTTAGAAAAGAGAAATCCATAAAATGAATTAATGAAGTTATATACTATAGAAGAAATGTTTAAATCTTTAAAGGCTGATTAAATTCCCACTATTTGTGGTGTTCTTTAAAACCTCAAACTAATATCTGAATCATATGAAGATTTACCAGATGCCTAAACAAAAAATAAGTTAGATCATCTGAGACATACATATTCTGGGGAATTGTTGAGTATCCTAGATGAAAATATAATCACAATAATTCTGATTGAGGAGGGATTTTCTAACATTACTTAGAATTTGCTGATTGGACCTACCATAGTAGTGCTGCATTACCCAAAAAGATAACTTTCTAGCAATTTGGAAATATATTTAGAGACTAAGATAAATGAATAGAGTATCCATATTATTGCAAATCCTGAGTAGAACTTTTTATCACCAAAGCAATGCATATAAGATTTTAAGGACTAATAATTAACTATGATTAATTATATATCACCTGAGATTATAACGAGAAATCAACTCTTAATTAAAGCAAGGATAATTGATATAAACTTTATCAAATTCGAGTTTGTTTGCTAATTATGTAAGGGAGGAACCCTACTTTCCTCAGCGAAATGTATAAACTCCTGTAGCAGACCAAGACCTTTGATGAAGATAAATATGAGATGCACAATCAAAGATGAACATGACGGAGAGGCCTTTATCTCTCTGAATGATGAGAGATGCTGCAAAGTTTTTGGCATAGATTACTATAATATCGATACATTTAAGGATTATTTCTTCACACATGGAGTCTTTTACTATAAATCATACTAGAAGTTTACAGCGGAATATGGAGCAGTACTTGAGTTCTTCAAAAACTCTCAAACTTAGAAATAATACATATTCCTATGTGTACCTTATTGCAAAGTAGGCTATGATGAACTATCCCTATTCAGCTAGACTTGCAATTAAGACAAATTAATTGGCATGATAAAGAGATGTCTAAGACTTAAGTCAACTGAGTAAGCTTTACACAAGGATATTTAAGATGAATTTAACAAGCAGTTGGAGAAGTATCAAATGCAAAAGCAAGTATTTGTAAATGGAGAAATCAGAGAAGCTATTGATTTTTCAAACAAAAAGGTCCTTAGATCGTTCATATGCTTGAAAGGAGTTAAGATCATTGATGAGAAGAAATAATAAAGTAGTAATAATAAGAAAAAGAACATAGCACTAAATTTTGGCAAAGAAGCATTTAATGAGTTATATTCTAAGTATAATTGAGTTTTCTTAATTTTATAAAGGCTAGCTTAAACTATAAAAAAAGTTGATAATTTCTTATTGTGGGGTTTTGGGGTTTTGGGGTTTTG